CGGCAGCGGCGGCGCCAACGGCAGTGGAGGCGCAAACGGCAGCGGCGGCGCGCACGGCTCAAACGATCCCCAGATCGTGACGAGCGGCAGCGGCGGCAACGGCGGCAGCGGCAACGCCGGCAGCGGCGGCCTCGCAGGCGAGGGCAGCGGCGGCGCGGGCGGCAGCGGCAGTGGCGGCGCCGGCGGCAGCGGCGGGACGGCCGCGGACCGCAGCGGCGGCGCAGCTGTTGGCAGCGGCGGAGATGGGAGCGGCCAGGGCGCGGGCATTACTAACAATGGGTCGGGTGGCGCCCACGCCAGCAACCATCCAGGCAGCGGCGCCGGCGGCAGCGGCAACAACGGCAGCGGCGGCAATGGCGACGGCGCCAGCGGAGGCTCCGGCGGCGCCGGCGGCAGCGGCCCGGGCGGCAGCGGCGCGGGCGGCAGCGGCGCAGGCGGCAGCGGCGGCGCCGGTGGCAGCGGGGGCGCCGACGGTAGCGGCGGCCGCAACGGCAGCGGCGGGGGCGGCAGTGGGGGTGGGGGCGGCCCGAGCATGGGGTGGGCTGGCAGCACTGCCGTGCATAGAGTGCACGGCGGTCACCGCGCGCCCCAGGCGCCCCTCGCGCCGCCGTTTGCGAGCCAGGGCATGCAGCCGCACCAGCAGCAGCAGCTGCCCAGCAGCCTGCACAGCAGCCTCTGGGGCATGGCCACGCAGCAGCTGCAGCGCGCAGAGCAGGCGCAGCAGGCCGCCGCGGCCGCGGCCGCGCAACAGCAGCAGCAGCAGCATGGCTCGCACGCCCATGCACACCCGCATGCCGGCGCGCCGGTGTCGCAGCCACTGGGGGCGTCCCCTGATGTCGCATGGCAGCTGTGCTGGCCGGCGATGGCGGCAGCTTCCGGGAACCTGTGGTCTACAGTCCCAGGCGTCACCCAGGCAGTCCAGGCGCAGGCCATGTCACTCGGTGACGCCCTGAACATCCACGCCCACCAGCACCAACAGCTGCAGCAAGCCGCGCACCAGCGCCGCCACGCCGCCGACGCGGCCGCTGCCGCGGCAGGGGGCAGCGCCGCCGGCCCCGCCGCCGGCCCAGCCACAGGTCCAGGCGCAGCTGCGGCGGGGGCAGCATCTCGGGTCCCTGAGGCTGCTGCGGCTGCGAAGCTGCTGCAAGAGCGCGCGGCGAGGGGGCAGGCGCCGCCGAATGGATGGCCGCCGCAGACCCAGCCGATGCAGCCGCAGCAGCACCTGAACCTGAACCCGCAGCTGCAGCGGTCCTCGTTCCCGTCGCCCGCGTCTGCCACAGCGCCGCAGTTTGCCGCGCCGCCGCAGACGGCGGCGCAGGCCCAGCAGCAGCAGCAGCCGCAGCCCATGCAGATCCTTCCGCAGCTGCCGGCTCCGGCCCCGCCGCAGTCGCAGCCGCAGCTGCTCGCGCTGCTGCCGCCCCAGCCGGCGCCGCCGGCGCCTGGCGCAGGCGCGGGGCTGCCTGGCGCGCAGGCGTTTGTCTCCGGCGGGCCGTTCCCCGGGGCGGCAGGCGCGGCGTCTTTCCCCGCCACCGCGGGGACGTTTGCCGGCTCCTCATCGCTGCAGGCGGCCCTCGTATCGCCGTCTGGCGCCTGGGGCCTGGCTGGCGCCGGCCTCCCCGGCTGCTGGCCGTCGGGCGTCCCCACCGC